ATTGGATCCTAAGGCCAAGAAATGTGTTTTCCTTGTCCTTGGGTATACTCAAAACCAAAATGGGTATTGTTGTTATGATCCAGTGTCAGGGAGCAGGTTTGTCACTATGGATGTTACCTTTTATGAGTCTACTTTCTTTTTCTTGGGTGGTTCTCCTCAAGGGGAACGTTTTGGGGAGGAGAACTCACAACTTGTCCCTCTTCCGGTGTCATTTATTCCTTCATCTAAACCACCTATTCCACCATCAACAACTACAATCCCACTACTTGACCATTACAGCTAGTCTCACAGGTTTATCAACGCCACCAAAAGAGGGTTGACTCCACACATGCTCAGATAGAAGAACCTGCACCACTCTCTGTCAGTCCATCTAAGATCCTAGGTTCGACTAATACAACTCAGGTATTTCCCTTGAGCCTGAGCCTATTATTTCCCCTGATAGTGATGTTTCTATACCTAACATTGTTGTGCCAGCATTATTGCTCTCTTTTCTCTCCCAAATCTCTTCTCTTCCTTTTCTCCTTTCTTCTCTTCTTCTACAAGAAATATTCTTTTCTTTTACAGATTTTTTATTTCAGCACTTTTCTACTCATACCACCCTTCTCTTCCTACCATCACAAACTGCCCCTACCACTAGAAACCACTAGCATAACCTCAACTCAATCTCTCTTGTTTTTCATTTTCTGAATCCATCACCCACTTTGCATCTTCCTTGCTCTGAAACATAAATAGGAACAAACCCCCAGCCAAATTGCTAACACCTACAAATCTTTCTTCCCCCCATTCCAACTTTGCCCAAGCTTCAATCACTTCTTCACATCGCACCCAATGGACCTACCAATAAGGCAAGCATTCAAGATCTTCAGGTTATCATTTAACTCTTCCACTTGTTTCGCTCCAATCTGAACCCTTGCTAACTTGCCACTGTTTCCACATGTTTGCATCATGTCATGCTAGAACCTTCAGCAAGATCTTATGGGTCGGCAAAAGCCCCCATCTTTCTCCCCTAACCACTTAATAGGAATATATGTATTACAATTCTAGCAAAAAAACTCAAAACAGCGATGGTGCAATTAAGATTGATGATCTTGAGATACCCCAAGCCAACCACTTTCAATACCCTAGTCAATCATCCATAATAAGGGAGCCGGAGAAATTAAAGAGGATATTGCTCATAGAATTAAAATAGGATGGTTGAAGTCAAGAAGTGCATTCGATGTGTTGTATGATCAGCATATACCAATAAGACCAAAAAGAAAATTCTATATGAAAGATCAGCATTGCTACACAAGGTTTGTACAGGTTTCCCTACCCTCCCCTTCCTTTCCCTACCTTTCCCTTCAAACCAAACACAGCTTAAAAGTCAATTAATAAGTTAACCCACATAGAATGGTTCTTTAACCAACACATGATAGAAAATAACTCAATAAGTTTGCTAAATGGTTCTTAAATAATTTGTAAACCTTATTCTAGCAAGGGTTTTAAAACAAGTGTCCCATGAAAAAAAAAGGAACTAAAAAAACCAAAGAATGGAAAGTAGATAACTTAACTGTAATTGAATTTATTTGATAGATTGAAATGTATAAATCATAAAATTCATGAATTAAACAGTAATTGTAAGATTTTTTAAGAAAAATATCAGACATAAGATTTGAACCAAAATACTTGGGGTTCTGATATGAATTATCAATTATGGCATAAATCGTAAGATTTTGACAACTAAAAGCCAACCCCAAATAGTTAGAATTAAGACTGAATTGAGTTCAGTTGTGTACATGGAACTCTTGAAAGACCATGACAATGAGAAAATGCACTAAAGCCCTACAATATGAAAGTTGACTTTCATTCCCCACTTTCATGCTACATCATAAAGCTCATTTACATTTTTCCTTCGATAAGATTCTTTATATATTCAGTGTCATTATGATGAAAAAAAAAAAAGAAAAGACAATTTAGAGAAGGTTCCTCAATGAAACATTAAAATTATTTAATCGCAGTGATCTTCATGGAATTTAGCTTGTATTTGTATGTCTGATTTGTGGGGACGTGCTACCCCCCGTCTTGTGTAGCCCCTTTCGGTTTCTATCAAAAAAAAAATTAAAATCATTTAATGTCTAACCACTTGATCTGGCAATAAGATGAAACAAATCTAATCGTGTAAATGTATCCTATAGAAATCAAGGGCAAAATATAAATTACAGGAATAGGTTTCAATCAGATGCAATAATATTCTCCTCAATTCTCCTCAATTATCTATCAAATAAATAAATAAATAATAATATGCTCCTCAATTAAGTAAAGTTCGTCAATCACTTAGGTTAAAATGGACAGAACTTTTCATGCTGAAATATTTGAGCCCATCTTCACCTCTTTTGCGTTGAAGACTTTGTTTTCCTTGTTATTTACATCAAATCAAATTAAAAGGGGTAAAAACAAAGTTCTCACTATATAGGAGGCAGAACTGAAACCTGAATTGTTTAAGTCTGGAAAATTTTCCGTCCATTTAACGAAGAAACAAAACATACCTAAGAAGCAACTTTCTCTGACAAATACTAACGAAACAAATTTGAAAAGCTCAATAATACCACCTTACCTACAGAAATAGTGTAAGAAGATTAAGATGTAACAATCAGTCACTCACCTTCTTAACAGATGCCGACCACGATAGCGTAAGGCCAAGAAAGACGATGAAGAAAAAAGGCCCCCATAGATCCCAATCCCTCAAAGCCTTCCCGGGGTCCTCACGGTACGGATTCGGAAACACCACAAGTTTCAGATTGCTGACAATGCGAGACAAATCCCTCTTCACAGTGTCCCACACCGGCTCCGTAAGCGTATTAGGGAGCGACCCAAACCCATTGGAAATACTCGCGCGGGAACTCGAATCGGACGTCGGCAAAGCTGGCGGAACAGGAATAGGAGCAGCAGGTGGCTTTTGATACGTCGGTTGGATATTGGATGTTATAAACGGAGATGAAGATACAGGAATGGAAGCTCTGGGAGGGCTCGGAGGTCTCGCCGGAAGCACTGTGGTGGGCCCGGACTGAACGCTGGCGTTAATGAGGTTCTCGATCTCATCGATGTCTGACTGCGAAGACGGGTGAAGAGGTACAGTATCGTTGTGCGACATGGTCACCCACAAAAATCTCCAAAACTAAAACCCCAAAGTCTCCAAGTACAACCACAATCCAAATAAATTTAGTGAAACCTGTAGAGAGAGAGAAAGAGATCTAACATAAATAAGCAATAAAGATATCTTGGACAAAGCACGATCAGACTCATAAAAATCAGATCCAGGTACATAATGTGAAAAGGCATGAATAGATGAGAAAATTTGAAAGGTTGAAATAAATAGATGAGAAAGGCATGAATAGAGAAATACAGTTTTTGAGGAGATTTGAAATAAACAACCAGTCAAGAACCCTACAAAGAGAGATTAGAGAAAGGTTGAATTACCAGGAAGAGGAGGAGGAGATGGACAAATTCCTTGTTCGAAGAAGGACTACTCTACCATGGATATCTCGTACTTTGTTCTTGTTTTCGCTCTTTTAACCGAAGACAATGACGTAAACAGGAATTAGAAACAGGAGTGACGAAGAAGACGCGAACATAAAATGGATCGGGTAAGTTGCATAGAGGTACCTGTACTTCGGGCATAGTGTCACTTGACGGGTGAACTTTCAAATGTGCCATTTACTACCTAAACTTCTACAATATACATTTAACTACATTGAGGGGAAGTTCGTTTTGAGGATTTTCAGAGGGGAGAAAGTTGGGAATTCGATCGACCCAAAACCCATATTCTTTTTTTCTGATTTATATGGAGTTCAGGGAATAGGTGAATAAATTAACTTTGTCAATACTTGGATGGGACAAAAATGCCCCTTTTGATCATGAAATTTTTATGGCTATAATGATTATTATATTTTTTATCTGAAAAAGAATATGGGCAAATGCACTTATTCGGATCAAATCGATAAAATTACGAAAACACCTATGTTTTGATATGGGTGCAAACAGATCAAATCGGATTCGGGAAAGGGTATATCCAATCGGATGAGAAATCGAACCAATCCGAATCCGATAAAAATCTGTTGAATTTTCATGATTCAAATTTGAATATGAATATCTTATTGGATATTGGATTTGAATCAGATTCAATTAGAATTGTAATAAAATTTTATGATGTGATATAAATAATATAAATAATATAAATAATATACAATACATAATATTTCATAACTAATGAATCGGATAGGATCAAGGTATATCTAAATTCGATTCATTAACCAAATGGATCGACTTTACCAATCTAGTTCAATTTGTTAGGATCAAGGGAGGTATTCGAATCTAACTCTTGTTAGACCAAATTCGGATTTGAATCGAATCTGATATGACTTATTTGAAGCCATATGTTTTGACTATCTTTATTATTATTCATCTTCTTCTATTTGTAGATTTTAGATGCAAAGAAACAATAAGGGGTCATTTGGCAAGTCTTTTTCAATGGCTTATTGGGCCACCGAAAGCACAATAGACCATTTTGTCATCTTTTTTTTTCATTTGGCAACAACTAATATGCTAGACAAAAAGACAATGCCCAAAAAAGATCAAACAAGCTCAAATTTGAGAAGCTTTAAATGAAAGCTTTTTTATCTTATTAGCCATCAAAGCTTCTACTTCCTCTTTTTTTCATCTTATATTTCTCATGTTCTTCTCTTTCTCGCCTTTCTTCTCCAATGCATCTCTTTTATTTATTTTTCTCATCTGCCATTTTTCATTTTGGTTTGTTTAGTAGTATTTTTTTTTTGTAAATCCTTAATCTTCTTCAGTTTTTCCATTTGTTCTTGACGATTGGGGTTTAAAGGTTTAGGGTTTAATGCTTTAAAGTTACTACATTACCGATTTCTTACGATTTTACTAAGAATGCATGCTTCAACCAAATGCCATGGAACATGTTAGCTTTTCTTTTGATTGTCTGTCAGAAAAAAAAAAAAAAAAAGCTAGTTGTTATAAATGAAGGTTGTTGTTTGTGTTTGATCAAACCTTCAACAACATCTGAAATTCCCTAATTTTATTATTTTACCACTAAAACAAACAATTTGGTAATTTTGAGTGTTCGGAGAACCAAAAACCTCAGCATGTCAAATTTCATGACCAAACACCTCCGTTTGACCATTGAAAAAGTAAGATTCCATTTCGGTTTCTTTCATTAATTGGAAAACCATAAGTTAAGACCATGATCTCAACTAAATCAATCAATCAATACATCTAATCAAAGATCCACCACTTCCATTAGATTCAGGGCATTCAAAAATGCCAACCTACCAAATTTTATCCCAAAATTCCCCCATTTGACCATTTATCAAATAAAGATTCTATTTCAGTAAATCTCATTGGTTCAAACTTGTCAGCCATAGATCTTAATCATCCCGAGCCTATTTTATCAATCAAACATCACCACTATGTTTAGAGACTCAAAAAACCTTAGCACATCCTAATTCACCCATTTAACCATTAAACTAGAAAGATACAATCTTGATGCACCAAATTAAATTGCCACCTGAAGCCTCAAAAGGGTGATGGCCGATGTCAGACCCATTCTTTACCCATTAGAACACCTGGACTAATGAATTTAAGCCTAATAGGCTTAAAAAGCTCAAAATACCAAACAAACCCCTACTTAAAACTAGGAAAAGATAAAGCCATAATTAAAAGTTCATCAAATTTACATTTTCTGACACTAACAACCCCAAATACAAGACTGCTATGACAAGGCACGCCTCAAACTCCCATTGGACACGCAAAACCCATGAAAACCATCCCCCTTCCAAATAAAAAAAAAATGTTTCACCAAATAGGAAAACTTGACTAGACATTTTTTTCTTTAAATAATCTTTGCTTATTTGTATGAAAAACCTTTATTGAATCCCAGCCATTGTAGTTGAATGAATTTAGACCTGACCCCCTCCCTTTCTCTATAAATATTGATTTAATTTGAGCTCAAAAGAGGGGAGAGACTAGGAGAATAAGGAGGGAGAGAAGAAGGAGAAGGGAGGAAACCTGAGGGAGTCCCCTAAAGAGATAGAGGGTGAGAGAAGAGTTTTTCTCCTAGCCCATATACTACCTCCTATTCACCCGAAATTCGAAAGTACTCTGAACCTCAAATTCCAAACTTGTTTCCTCCATTTTTAAGCGAAAATTGTTGCAACCATAAGCATTCCCTAGCTCAATAACCCATTTGAACTTCATTGTATCTTATCCTAGTTGTTGAAAAACTTTTGACAAGATACATAAGACCCGATAACTTTTGACATACGAAAAGGTATGTCCATTTTTTTAGTTTTTTTTTTTGTTGCTTGAGGTTCTGAAATGTTGGAGAACCATCGTTTTCAATTTCTTCTTGACTAAGAATAGAGGCAGAGAGGTGAGGGTCTTAAGGAAATCAATACCTAAGACTCGATAACATCACCTCAAAATTGGTCTTAGGCAAGGTTCAAAATATCGATACGCTCGATACGCCGGCAGGGGCATATTGGGCGTTTCGATACTTATTTTTTTTCAAAACTGGTTCAGGGGAGCCAGTCTAGGACCCCTCCATCCCCCGAACTGGCCAGACCCTCGATACACCCACTATAGGGGCATATCGGAAGGGTCCCAGAACGATACGTATCGACCCGTATCGGGCCAATACGTAATGATACTTTGAACATTGGTCTTAGGAGAAGTTGAAAGCATGTTCTGCCAAATTTAGGAAATTTCTGTAACCATTTCTGTTTTTCTCCAAAAGAAATTAAGCCTAAACAACTCCCATATTGGGCTACTATAGCAGTTTGGAGAAAGGGGTGCCTAATACCTTCCCTCTCCCAATATTTGGGACCCGAAATCTTTCAATTATGTGCCTTTTCCATGGAAAACGGAGTCACTATCAAAGACTTAAATCGAGTTTTTCAAATATAAAATAAGGGCCCATTTTCTTTAAAAAATGGGTGGCGATTCCATTTCTTTGAATCGGCCATGAGCTTTCCGAAGCTCACAGTAATAAATACTTTTCCTTTGATTGAACCCTTTGGCTAACAATCTAACCTTAAATGTTTGTACGATTCCATCACTGTTGTATTTCCTTCTAAAAGCCCATCTACACTTAATTGGTCTTGATCCTGAAAGCAAGTCTATTAATACCCATGTGTTATTAGACATTATTAAATCAATTTCATCATTTACAGCTTCCTTCCCAAAGGCATCATTACTAGAGGTTATGTCCTCATTATAAGTTTTAGAATCACTTTCAGTGTTTAATACAATAGATATTTTGTTTAGCACATTTTTCTTTATTAGCCTTAACTAGGGACCCAATTGATATGTGTTTAGAAAACCAAACCAGATCGGCTGGTCGGACAGGTTGAACTAAGATCGGCCCTCGGCTAACTCAATCATACCCCCAAAACTGCATTATATAAAAAAACAACTAAAACTTGTGACCTTGAAGGTCAAACCGAAAAACCAGTAACCCAGTCCCATTTTAGAAAATCAGCCGGTTTTTTGATATTTTTTAATACATAAATACAAACTTCTAAAGGACATAACTTTGTGCTTGTATGTCCGATTAAAGTGATTTTTTTTTTTTAATTTTGGGCAACTTTTCGAGATCTACATTTCCAAGGTGCAAGGGGCACTTTGCCCCACTATTTTTTGCTAAAACACCTCTTTTGCTTCAAATATTAATTTGTAATATAAAAAATGAAACTAAAATAAAAATATATGTTATAGAAGAATATAATTATATATTTTGAATATATGGATATAATTAATAATATTATCATATACAATTATATATCATATAATTGTGCATATTATATAATATATAATATATAATATATATTGTATAAATTATATTAAATTATATTATAATATTATATATATGTATTATATATAATATATTGAATATATCTAATATATAATTTATAATATTATATATATAAATTATACATACACATGCACATACATATTACGTCATCACGGTTCGACCTCTAGTTGGACCCGACTGAACCTCTGACTACTAAACCTCTCCTTTTTCCAGGTCAACGCTCGGTCTAGTTTTTTGAACATTGTAATTGATTGGGTAAAAATAAAATTAGAACCTAAATGTTTCTCTTTCCTTTGTCTTTGACTTCTCTTGGGTTCTACTATAACTGTTGCAACAACTCCATTTGCCCTTTTAGTTTCACTATTACAAGTAAGTTCTATAATTTGAGTTTCTCTTTCAAGTTCCCTATCATTCTTTGTAGATTCAAAACATAGTGTATTTTCAAAGAATTCAACAACTCTTATTTCAATGGTTATATTGACTTCTAGATCCAAGAGCCTATAGCATTGCTATGCTCTGCATATCTAACAAACATATTTTTCTTAGCTCTAAGTTCCAACTTAGTTCTTTTAAGGTTTGAAATTCTATAGCATGTTAAACACCCCTACACTTCTATGTATATTAAGTTTGATTTTCTCCTTTTCTATAATTCATATGGACATTTATTATTAGTTATAAAAACAATATTGTTATTTAAATGATAGGAAGTTAGAAATGCTTATCCCCACAT